TGCTTGTTTTCTTTTCTCTAAACTAGCTCTGTTTGACAGAATTATAATGAGAGCCATATGTTCGTTTAAATTTAAATTTAAAAAGTGAAAAGAAACAGAAGACGTAATTTTAATATATTTTATGTTAATGTGTCCATAACATTATCACTTCAACCTGTGTTTAACACAAAATGTTATTGATGAGCTATTTTATATCCTTTCCATTCTACCAAATCTTCAACACTCAGTGTGCATTTTATAATTACAGTACATCTCAACTGGTGTGCAAAATTTTTAGCAGTTGAAGTGAAATGTATCCTACCAAAACAATAAAATTGTATTTAATGGAAAAATATTTTACATTGACTCAGTTTTCAGATTTATATTTAGATGAACTATAATCAAATAAAATTAAAAGTTAGGTTTCTCAGTCTTACTAAACACATTTCAAGTGTCCAGTAGCTCCATGTGGTTCGTGGCCATCAGAGGGGACAGTACAACTCTAGACTTTCTCAGGTGAAGACCAGGGTGAAGGAGGCTGTGGAGTATTATTTTCTTTGGCCTCAGGGTTTTCATGAGCCCTACATGGGGAGCATGGAGTGAGCCCACAGAATACTTCTATTTAGAGGGAAAGAAATGGGCTCTTAGAGAGCAAAAGAAAGGAATAAATTCCAGTAATTTTATTCAAAATTCAGTCCCAGTAGTACAGTACAGGATGACAAGTCTAAATATGACATGTGTATCTTTCATGACTTCCAAATTACATGAAAAATGAATCAAATGAGTGGTGACCATTGATGGAAAATTTCCCTCTCTGGGTTTTAGGAAAATTAGATTTCTCTTCTAAAAGATTCTTTCTTTGCTCTTGGAAAAAATCTTTTAAAAACCATCTTCATGATTTCTTTGCACATTGCATATCAAAGAACAAGTAGAGGTTGCTGTCTTTGGGATAGAAAAAATAAAACAAATTATGATGGTGAAAACATTATAGAGAAAACTGGACATGAAATTTTTAAATTGCAAATTCATACAAGTACATGGAAAGGAAAAGATGGATCATAGATCATGGTGGTAGGCAATGTGGCTTATAAGGCAATGAATTTAAATTTTTTTAGTAGTAGTACAACTTATTATTAGTATTATTTTCCAAATTAAATATTATGACAAGCTTCAATCTATAAAATTAATTGGTGCAGCCCTGGGGGGAGCAGGGCCCACTTTGTCTCTGTGGAAACCCCCATGGGGGCTTCTTCGTCACCTGGGGCTGTCATAGACAGTGCCAACTTTACACTTTGTCACTCACCTGCACTTCTACACTGGGACAGTTGCATAATTTTTAATGTTGTTTTCTCATTTATAAAATGAAGGAGTAGGAACAAGATCCTTTCAGTTCTGGAAATGCTTTGATGTTCTCCAAGTTGTGGAACATGGCTACTCTCGTCGGGAAAGCTTCTTATCATAAGGGAACTTTTAATCTATGGCAGAAAGAAATATTCAGCAGTTGCTTCTCCTTCCTCCTAGGACCAGGATCCCGCTGCCTTTGGTGCTGATTCGCTGCTGTTGAATTCCTCCAGATACTATCTGAACATCCGCTACACCCTGCTGCCCTATCTGTACACCCTCTTCTACCGTGCTCACACCCGGGGGGAGACTGTAGCAAGGCCCCTTGTCCATGAGTGAGTTTCCTGATCCTCAAAGACTCGCTTTCATATTGTAGTTTCACTCTACCTTGTTTGTGGTAACAAGGTTAGTTCGGGTGTTGTTGCTCCGTAATGTGCTGCTGTCCTGTATCGGGGCTTCCCTTGCCTCACTGTCCTCTCTCTGTTTTCCAGGTTCTACCAGGACCCAGCCACATGGGAGGTGCACGAGCAGTTCTTATGGGGGCCTGGACTCCTCATCACACCTGTTTTATATGAAGTATGTCTATAACAGTGGGATGGGGTATTGCACTTGTCCTCATGGCTCTATAGCCGATTAAGCTGGATCCTGAGTATCTATGACTGCATTTAAATCTAAATATGAATATAAGTGAAAGAGATAATGAAAGTTTGAAAATTGAAGAAATAATAATTCTTGGTCCTGCTGTCCCTCCAAGCAAAACAATTTCCATTTTGCAAAATTGCCTTAAAATTAAAGCCTGTGTCCTTAGGCATATGGCTGTGGCATTGACATGGGCTTGAAATGCCTTGTTGTGTGTGTGCTCATCGTCTGTCTGTATTTATCGTTGTCCAGAGGGGGCTGTGCTCTTGGGTTGGGCTGGGAAGAGAAAATACCTGTGAAGAGAAGAAGGGAGGGAGAGAGGAGTGCTGGGCAAGAGAAGGGTATCTCTCTGAAGTCACCTATGAAGGTCCACGTGTATCCTACCTAAGTGTGATTTGGGGCAGAGGTGGTTGGGAAGTATGGAGGAAGGATTAGGATCATTCCCATCCACTTGTAAACATGAAAGATTGCCAGCGTGGTCATGTTGAAGGTCCTTGGAGCTGGTGTTTCATCCACACCATCTGATGACAGTTCCTGCTAACCAGCCATTGGCCCAGCTGGAAGGCTCTCCTAGGGGCCTGGCTGGCTCAGTCTCCTCCCAACTGTTAGATTACATGACTAATTCAGTAAATGAACTTTCTCTGTTTCTCTTAGTGTAGTAGCATTGAAGCAAAACAAATTTAATCTCTAGCTATGTTCTGCTTTGGATAAACTGCTCAACTAGAGCGTCTGTGTTTTCATTTGTAGGCTGGGGTATCTCAACAGTCTCTTAGGATTGTTCAGAGAAGCATGTGCTATGACACCTGGAGGTGTTTGTAAACTGTAAAGGGGTGTGCTCATGTTACTCATCGTTGTTTCCCTAGGGTATGGACCAAGCGAAAGCATACATACCGGACGCCACCTGGTATGACTACGACACAGTAAGTGAGGCGGCCCTGGCTGGCTCAGAGACCTGCTTCTAGCAGACAGCAATTCTAAAGCAGCAGACTTAGGAGCCTGGGGCAGGATGATAATATGAGGTTTTGTGTTTACCTGTTTGTGGGTGCTTTTCTGTGAGAAAGGTGTCTTGGTCCACCCAGGATGGTGTGACCCAAATACTGTATGTGGGGTAATTTATGCACAACAGAAATTTATTGCTCATGGTTCTGGAGGCACCAGCAGGACTTCATTAATGGTGCCTTCTTGCTCTGCCTTAATCACTTCCCCTAAGGCCTCACCTCTTAATACTATTATACTGAGTATTAGGTGCCAACATATAAATTTTGGGTGCACACTAACATTCGGACCCTAGCAGAAGGCCTTTCCAAATGTGCAATGAAATAATTTGAATACCTGGGGTAGATTTATAGAAATTCATTATATCAGCCTGCCTACTGTGCAGCTATCAGGACTAGTTCCTGGCCTTTGGCAGTGATAACCTAGAGAATGAAAACTGATTATGGAATCACAGCATGGTGTAATGTAAAGAAATGGGGTGGTCTGGAGTCTCAGCTCTGGTCTATACTACCTGTATGCCTTGGGCAAGTCACGTTACTTTGGGGGTCTTCATTTTTCTCTTCTTTAAAGTGAGGCAACTGAACTAGATGATCTCTAAGATCTCTCCTAGCCGAACAGCCTGCTATCTGATCTATCTTCCTTTTGTTGATTAGGGAGTGGCCATCCCATGGAGGAAACAATGGGTGGACATGCTACTCCCAGGTGATAGGATAGGACTTCACCTTCGAGGAGGCTACATATTTCCCACCCAGCAGCCAAACGTAACCACAGAGGCTAGGTAAGTTCATCAGTCTTCTAGGGTGTGACATCCTGCTGCTCTAAGGGGGCAGGGCATGATGAGAGAGGCAAAGGACTAAGGGTGGATCTGCCAAGGGAAGAGTCTCCTGGCAGTAATCTTCCTCCTCTCCTTTCAAAGTTGGTCCAAAATTGACATCTTAATCCTTATTTAGTAGGAGGTAAATATTCCTTTATATTTCCATAGTCCTTCACTTTTGGATTGAATCAGATTAGAGAAATAGTCCAAATAATCACTGATGAGGACTTTCCTATGACCAGAAACTGTCCTCAGGTAGATACCCAAATGTGTGGGAGAATGCAAGTTAAATAGGAGATAAAGGTTACCCTGTGAAAGTCAGCATAGCTGGGAGGTCAATAGCTCAGACTTGGAGACAGTCTGGGCAGTTTGGGTTTAAGCCCTGACCCTGCTACACACTTTATGTTTTTACCTTGGGTAGCTTACTTCTCTGTGCTTCTGCTTATTATGGGTGAACTGGGGATGATGATAGCCCAACTTTGTAGTGTTACTAAGAGGGTTACATGGATTAACATTAATGGTAATTTTATGTAGGACACTTGGAAGGGTGCCTGGCATATAGTAAGTGCTGATCGTTAGTGGTATGTATTACATCGCAGCCCAAATGGTTTTCAGTGGAACTGCCTCCTTCCACCTTCTTCTTATGCCACTCACTCCTAACCTCTGCTGCCTGCCCACACCCAACTCTCATGTTTCCACACAGTGTTGATATCTACTCAATTTCTGGGATGGACTCTGGGGTTATCTGTCCCTGGGGCTTGTTTCATATAGTCTGTCCAATCTCTTCTTCATTCTCCGATGCTGAGAATTGCTCTTTTACAGCCGGAAGAATTCCCTGGGACTCATTATCGCCTTGGACTATAAGAGAGAAGCCCAGGGGGAGCTGTACTGGGATGATGGTGTATCTAAAGGTAGGCTTTCTTATGGCACTGTGACTGGTTCTCCATGAAAACCAGTCATCACAGACTGCCCCATATGGCACTAGCCCTATTATCATTGTCGTTTATTTCTCTAGCTTAGAATCAATGGGTTAGAACTCATTCTGAAAGTTCTATTAGCCAAGCACAGTGCATTAAAATAGACTTCAAATATTCAACTTATAGGTTATTGACTCTACCAAAGCAACAGATGTTATTGCGTTTAGCTTAATTAGTCTCTTCTCTGGATATCGCTATTAATAACAAATAATATATTTTGTTAACAGCTTTGTAAAATACTGTTTTGGTTACTATTAAGGGAGAAGTATCCAATTTGTGTAGTGTGTTTCCTCCATTGCAAGGTTTCTATATAAATATCTCAAATAAGCTTATAGTCTGTAAGCTTATATATAAAAATCCTGCCCTGCAGGGAGTTAGTATGTATGGATATTTATTTGCTATTTATTATCACACTACAT